TATAGCTGAAATCAGATATTATTAGGTCATATAAGAAGGACATCAAACTTTGCTAAGGGACACAAAAAGAAGATTTGAATAATGATATAACGCTATCATTTTATTTTATTTTACTTTACTTTATTTTGAGAGAGAGAGCACGCATGTGTGTGCACTGAGTTGGGGCGGGGCAGAGGGAGAGAGAGAGAGAGAGAGAGAGAGAGAATCTTAAGCAGGCTCCACACCCAGCAGCAGAGCCCAACATGGGACTGAATCTCATGACCCTGAGATCATGACCTGAGCCAAAATTAAGAGCTGGACGCTTAACTGACTGAGCCACCCCTGAGCCCCCTGTTTTGTTTTAAGATTTTATTTTTAAGTAGGCTCTATACCCAGAACGGGTCTTGAACTCACAACCCCAAGATCAAGAGTCACATGCTCCACCAAGCCAGCCAGGTGCCCCAAGAATGTTATCATTTTACTATGACCACATGCACACCCTCCATGGGGTTCTTTCTGAACTTTAAATAGGATATAAAAATTCATCAGGAAGAGTCAATGGAAGAGGCTGAACAGGCAGACCCTTGTTCCCCTCACTGTGTGCACCCCTTACCCCCTATGCACTGAGGTCTAACTTACAAATAAAATTGCATATATTTAAAGTGTACAGTGCGATGAGTTGACATATGCATGCATTGTGAAATGGTTACCACAGTTAGGTTAATTAACACATCCGTCACTTCACATGGTTACCTTTTTTTTTCTTCTACTGTGGCAAGAGCACTTAAGAGGCACTGCTACTGTGTTCATTCACAGCTTTCAATGCAATATTATTAACTATAGTCACCATGCTGTACACCAGACCCCCAGAACTTATCTTATAGCTGAAAGCTCGTACCCTTTGAACAACACCTCTCTATCCCCACCCGCCTAGCCCCTGAACCATTCTGCTCTCTATTTCTAGGAGTTTGACTTTTTTTTAGATTCCATATCTAAGTAAGATCATATAATATTTGTCTTTCTCTATCTGGCTTATTTCATTTAGCAAAATGTCCTCCAGTTTCATCCACGTTGTCACAAAGAGCAGCATGTCCTTCTCACGGTTGAACAATATTCCATTATACTACATTTCCTTTATCCATTCAACCATTGACAGACACTTAGGTTGTTTCTGTAGCTTAGCTATTGTGAATAATGCTGCAATGAACATGGGAGTGCTGATAGCTCTCTGAGGCCCTGATGGCATTTCCTTTGGATGTGTAGTGGGATTGCTGGATCATAGAGTAGTTCTATTTAATGTTTTTGAAGAACGTCTATACTGTTTTCCATGGTGACATTCTTACTAACAGAGTTGCCTTTGTTCCACATCCTTGCCAAAACTTGTTATCTCTAGTCTTTTTGATAAAAGCTCTACTAACAGGTGTGAGGTGATATCTCATTGTGGTTATGATTTACATTTCCCTGATGATTATTGATGTTAAGCACCTTTTCATGTACTTTTTGGCCATTTGTATGTCTTCTTTGGAAAAATGTCTATTCAGTCCTTCTGCCCATTTTTTAACCAAAAACAATTTTTTTTTTTTTTTGCTATTGAGGTCTTTGTATATTTTGGGTATTAACCCCTTATCAGAAATAGGACTTGCAAATATCGTCTCCCATTCCATAGTTTGCCTTTTCATTTTGTGGATGGTTTCCTTCACAGTGCAGTAAATTGTTAGTTTGACATTGTCCCACTTGTTTATTTTTGCTTATGTTGCCTTTGCTTTTGGTGTCAAATCCAAAAAAAAAAAAAAAATCTAAAAAATTCCCAAGAGGGATGTCAAGGGGCTTACCCACTATGTTTTCTTCTAAGAGTTTTATGGTTTCAGGCTTTTTGTGGAAGTCTTTGATCCATTTCCAGCTGACTTTTGTGTGTGGTGAAAGATAGGGGTCCAGTTTCACTCTTTTGCATGTGGCTGTCCAGTTTTCTTAATCTTGTATGTATTAAGTTGGATGATACGAATTTCTGTTTTGTCAGTTAGCATAGTCAAATATTGGCAAGTTCACATGGATTATGTAGTGTGATTCTTACTGGTTTGTAGTATCATAGAAAGAAGGGAATACATCTGAATATTGCCAATGGTCATCCCCGAGTTGTCTCTGAGTGCTGATATCATGAGTGACTGTGATCACCTTCTTTGTGGGTTTTCAGTATAGCCTAAAAATTCTATAATAAACTGTATAATTTCATAATCAGGAGAAGGGAAAAAAAAAAGACCAACACTGCCCCCCCCCACAAAAAAAATCTGTTCTTAAAAGAAATAAGAACTGTTTTAAAAAATACTTTTCTTTGTGCATTTTTCTTATATGGAGAAAAGTAGAGAAAATAATGTAAATATCACTTATAAATCCTGGTTTAACCATTGCTGACATTCTGCCATAAAAAAAAGTCTTTTATTTTTGCTGCACTACTTTAAAGTCAAACAACGTGGTATTTTTCAACCAAATGCTTTATCTTAAAAAGATGCAAACATTTAACTTTTGTTATCTCACCTAGCAAAATGAACAGTAACATCTGCACATTTAAAATCTCAAACAGTTATTATTTTTTAGAATATTTATTTATTTATTTATTTGAGATAGAGAGCACAGCGGGAGGGGCAGAGGGAGGAGGAGAATTTTCAAGCAGACTCACCACTGAGTGGGGAGCCTGACACAGGGCTCCATCTCATGACCTGGAGATCACAACCTGAGCTGAAATCAAGAGTCAGATATCTGACTGCGTCACCCAGGTGGCCCTCTCAAACAATTATTTTATCGCATTTCTGGTGTGTTTCACCATCACAACATGGTATCACTGGTTTCCTTTTTGCTTCTCTTTAATTTCGGAGGCATCTGGGGAAAGGGGATGGAAGATGGGAGGGAATTTGTTTCTGGCCTTGCTTGGTGCCAGCCGGCTCTCGAATACCATCTTAGTAGCGCCCTCGCCTTCTCACACAGCGTAACTACGGCGGGGTGGCGGGGGGCGCAGGATGAAGTTAGGTCAGGGCTCCCACTGAGCCATTCAGGTATGCTTCCTTCTTTCCCCTTCCACTGCCCCTCCCAACACTCTCTGAAAGGTTTAACCTTTCCAGTTTGGGAATCTTCTGTCACAAAAAGATGCTTGGCTACCTCTAGCTGGAACCACAGTGTGCACCCCCACCTCCCCCATACGAGTTCTCCAGAGAGATTCTTTTTTTTAAGATTTTCTTTTATTTATTTGGGAGAAAGAGTGAGAGAGAGCATGAGCAGGGGCAGGGAGGAGGCAGAGGGACAAGCAGGCTCCCCGGGGAGCAGGGAGCCCGATGCGGGGCTCGATCCCAGGACCCCGGGATCATGACCTGAGCTGAAAGCAGGCACTTCACCGACTGAACCCCCGGGCGCCCCCAAAGAGATTCTTGAAATAGGAAGAACTGGACCCACTGTGCGTGCTGCCGGGAAGGGCAGCCTATAAGCCTTATAGATCGTCCTCCGGTTGGGTCCATTCGGCCTTTACTTGGGCTGACATCCATCCTCTGATTTATTTTAAAATGACGCTGACTTTCTATAGGCTGAGCTGCCCCTAAATAGACTCCTTCCGCCTTTGGAGTGCTGATTTCTGGAATCAGGGTGGGGCACTTCCTCTCGGAGACACAACACATTTTGCTTGTGTTCGGGATTTAGAGAAAAGTAGTCCTAGGATGGAGAGGGCGGCTCTCTCAGCCCCAGGAGAAAGGAAGCAGCATTTGTGGCCACACTGGGGAGGGAGTGATGACCCTGCCCCCTCCCGCCGCACCATCAAAGGAGATCTGATCAGGGGCAGGAGGTTCAGGAAGTGGCTGGACGCAGTGCCAGGCACTCTGGATTCCCAGCTGGCGCCCAGGGTCACCGGGGCGGCCTCGTGGTGGAGAGATGGGCTAGCAAGAACCAAGGGGCACCAGGCCTGGCTGTGGGGGCGGAGGGTCCGCTTACCGTTAGCGGTTCAAAAGCACGGAGACACCCCGCTGGGCACGAGCGCCCATGGGGTATGCCAGCAGGGGAAGGCTGCCTGGTGCCCGGCCATATCCCCAGCACACCAGGCTGAACTTGCCAGGCCAGAGGCGGCAGGGCCCTCCTGTGCTCTCTGTCCTGATTACCATGAGAATAGCTCTTGGGTGTAGCTGAGCAGGACATCCCAGACACCTTAGCGGCCACCGCTGTGCCGGCCTGAGGCCCCTTTACCTTAGGAGCTATTGGAAACCCACGGCCGGCTCCCCTCAGGGCGCTTGCTCCATACCTCCCCTCCACCCCCAAGCTTGACAGCTCTGCCCTCTGTCCTAAGACAGACATTGACCCCACGAGGACAGTGACAACATTAAACACACAGTTCTCGAATTAGATTTCCCAAGTGAACATAATTTTTTTTTTCCCTACGTAAATGACAAAGGCTTTGGTGCCATTTCCCATGTTAGGGGTGGTTCTGGCAAATGGAGTTTGCAGTCCAAAGATTCACAATGTCTGAGAACTTTAGTGGTTTAAGGGAAGAGAAGCATAATATTTGAAATCTAACCATTCCCAAGAAACATGGGGCACATTGGCTTACCACTCATGTTTCTTCAATCCCTCTGGCTGCTCCTTTTTGGAGTCCATGGCCGAATTGGTCTCATGTCACCCCTAATGTGTTATTTGCCTGGAGTTTTCTCTCTGTTCTTTCACTCAGGGCCTTATTTATCCCCCTTGAGATGTAGGGTGGCTCCCGCCAGGGAGACGTTACCCAGCTGACTCTGGGTCAGCCCCTGCTGGTCTGTGGCCTCGCCATCGACGGTCTGGAGGGACCCATCCCGCATCCTTGGAAGTCCCAACCTTGAGTATAATTAGTAGGTGCTTTGGCTGTGGAAAAGGGATGGAAATCCTGCTCTGTGTCCTCACTGCCGTAAGCAGGCGGGGGTATCATTTCCTCTGTGCCAGAGCTATGAGGACATCGGCATGTGCTTCAGACACCAGGGCTGGACCGAAGCCACCGACCAGAGCCCTCTAGCCCAGCACCAGCACGTGGTGCCTAGCGCTACTTCCCCTGCAGAGTGCCCGCATCCCCTAAAATCTCACGGGTGCCACAGCGAGCTTGGGGACGAGTCCAAGGACCTCCCGAAAGCAACATGCTGTATTCGTGCTTGAGGAGCTTGTCACAAAATACCTGAGGCTTGATTGGAAAGGTGCGTTGGCCAAGTCGTTCTGGGAGCACATCCACTGGGACAGCAGGGGACAGATGGGAGAAGGAGGTGAACCTGGAAACCATGGAGATGGGTAAGAGGCAAGCAGGC